CTCATCAGTCACTGAAAACGGCACGCGGTGACATATGAAAATCGTTTGTTTGGCTGAAGTAAAATTAACGTATTTTCTAGTTATAATTACGATAATTATGCGTAGATTTGGCAAACGTCCAAGCTTTTGCATGACGGATCTCGCTGGCGATCCAGACAGGGTGGGATTGTGATTTCGAAACGATATGCAGGTGTATACTGCAATCGACAATCGACCCTGGGTATGCGGAGAGGCAGAAATAGTTTTCAGGATGGAAATAGAGAAATGCCGGATGATGCACTGAGAAACGGATTATTTCCTTAGCTCATAGCAGAAGCCAGGTCGATTCTTTTGGTTTATTATTAACCTTATTCACCGAGTATTTGTTTTATTTACCTCATTTTGAATTTTATGCAGTGTTCAGGTAGACCGAGGAAAATTACAGCCACAGCGAGCACTCATCGTACAGAACGACGGTAATTCTCACACGCTATGGCACGACTACATCAAAATGCCATGATGTTCCTGTTATTCGCAGGTCATCCAAACATTTGACCTTCTTTGCTGTTGCGCCAAAGTATGGTTGGCGAATTCCTTGCTAAAGGAATAAGTATTAATAGAAATAGTTTAATCTGCTCGTGGATTCGAACTGCCGCCTTTAGTATGTGACTCCGAGCCACTTCCTTCCGCCATCTGCCCTCCATTGGTGTTTGTTAATGTTACGAAATGCACACGATTCTGAAGTGGATCAGCATCTTAGTTGTGCCCTTAGTTGGGCTCTTGTTCAGTTGAACCCGGATGCGCGGTCTTGTATCCTTTGTTCTGCAGACGATTAAATGCCATGACCATATCAAATGGTATTCCGGTAGGAAACTAAAAGCAAAGACACGATAAATCTATTAACATCTTTGTAATAAAATAATATCTTTGCACCATCTCTCAGCAAAACGGATATCCCGATGGATAATTTTATGAATTCTGTTCAACTTTATCCTCATTTTCGCCTTTTCCCTAAAGTAAATTGAAATTATCTCATTATTCCTTCCTATCTCATAAATCTATTGCATTTATTGATCTGGATCTGTTTTTATAGGGGGTTCAGATTCAGATCCATATTATACAAAAAGATTGATCATTACATGTAAATTAACGATTTTATCTACTGTGTCAAATATATTCAGTTCATTTGATCAAACGTACGTAGAAATTGTTGTTTTGTCATCTTCGTCTAAGACTGATGCAACGTAAGTATCAGGGTAGTCCAGATTTATGATATCTGGTCTTACTTGGAAAAAAGTTGGCGAAGTATTGGCCGAAGCATCGGACTGTTATAAATATACCCATTTTATGTTTCTGTATGATTATTAAGGCACAGGTAAAGTACTTTACTTTCCTTTTCTGTTGCAGTTGGAATATTTAACGATTTACTCTGAATCATCTATTCCATATTAGTATCCACCAAAGATAGTCCTGTGTTATATATGGACCTAGTCCTACAAATGAATCACTTGATATCGACGGAGAGGACGATTTGAAATGACTTGACCTATCTTTCACGGCTTTTGCCCTCCTTCCCCTGGCTACTAGGAGCCACAGGTCAAATCAGGTCTCCGTCATTTCTTGAGCACCTACAGAACCTCGGGTGCTAACGCCATGAAAATCCGATAGAATGAATTGAAGTTATTTTTGTTATGTTCGGTG